GGGTCCATACTGATATCTATTGGCCCTTGGTGTCACCAAAGTCCACAGGGATGCCCAGGGTCTAGGATGCAACCTGTGACCATGTTGGTGTCTGAGGGCTGTGCTGCTGCTAAACCATGTAGACTTGAATGGCCAGCAATGTCACCTGGGGCCATGGTGTTATACAAGCCAGGGCTTCTGCTGAGGGTCCTATCTGGGTCCATGGCCCTACTGTAGCTTGGGTCTGTGTTAATATACATGGCTTCTAAGACCATCAATAGCCCTGCTAATGATAGGTATCAAGGCAGCTGTCTAAAGACTTGTTGGTGTCCAAGGGACACACTCCATTGGGGACCATGCCAAACCTGGTAGCCTGCACTGCTGCTAGGGGCCATGGTGCCATCTGAACCCTGGCTGCTTCCTAAGACCATATCTGGGTCCATTAGCCTACATCATGTGGTATTTGTATTGATGTCCATGGCCTATGTTGCCACCAAAAGCCACAAGGATGCCAGAGATCTAGGCCACAACCTGTGGCCACATGGGTTTAAAGAACAGTGATGCCTCCAGGGCCAAGTTGTTCTGAATGGCTGACACTGTCACCCAGGGCCATGGGGTTGTCAAGAACAGGACTATGACTGAGACACATGTCCGGGTCTGTGGACCTACTGCAGCCAGGTCTGAGTTGACATTTGTGACTCCTGTTGCCACCAAGGGCTGTGTGGATGCCTGGGGTCTAGTCAACCACTTGAGGCCAAGTTGGGGTCTGAGGGCCATGTCACTGCAGGGGCCATACTAATCTTGGGGGCCTGTGCTGCTGAGTCCATGGAAATGTTGGGGCCCAGGCTACTGCCTAGGGTTATGTCTGAACCATGTCTGCAACCCTGCGGTGGCTAGAGTCTGGAGTGATGTCCAAGGTTCCTGTTACCACCGAGGACTCTGTGGATTCCCAGGGTCCAGTAAGCTGCCCCCCAAGTCAGAATAGTAGAAGAACTAGCCCTGACCTTCACCAGCTGCAGTGCACAGGAGGGTGAGCTCGGCAACCTACCAGAGCAGCATACCAGCACTAACTGGGTTGTCAGGGGCACAGGTGAGCCAGCCCTGAGGGTGTGAGAACAGGAAAGCTGACACCCCCATCATGCTCCCTACCCCTCCCATGCTTGTATGCTCCCTATAGAATTGGGAGAGAGGATCCTACACTGAGCACGGACAAACAGTAGAGATGGCTCTGGTCACCCAGGCCTATGACCAGGGCTGAGAGTGGGCCCACCCCAGCATCTACCTCTCTATGAACTGTTAAAACATGAGAAGAAGGTGAATCTACAGATCCAAAACTTCAGGATCTCCACGACACAGGACAATGATGACACTCCAGCAGAATCCATAGTGAGAGTCCATTGTTGAAAGTGTGACAGAGGACAGAGGCCTTGAACCAGACCCGAGACTCAGGGCAATGGACACTTGAAGATGAAGATAAAAGGACTATAGGGTAAAATGTGTGTGTGATTTACCATTCCACACCACAGCTTCCACAGTGAATTTTTTGTAAATCGTTCTTGTTTTTTGGTGTGATCTGGTTGTTTGGTAAGTTTGGTTTTGGTTTTTATTTTAAATTTTGTTTTGCATTGAGTGGGGAGGTTACAAGGGCCAAGGGGGCAGGTGGAATGGGAAGGATTGGGTTGCTTGATATGAAAACACAAAGAATCAATAACAGCTAACCAAATAAGAAAAAAAGGAAAAAGAAATAAAATATGGCCTTTCCTAATGTGAAGATCTTACCAAAGTTCTGAAAAGACGGTCATCTTTTCAAATGTCACAAAGCGTATCAGTCCCTAAACTAGTTAGTACTTGTACAATGATTGCAAACAGTCTGAAGATGGGTTTTCTGGAATGTGTTCATGGACAGAAAGACTTTCCTTTTTCCTAGCTTTTAGTGAATGTGCTATTTGACAACCTCAAATATGTAAAAGAACCTTGTCATCATCCTAAGCCACACCTTCTGCATTCTCCCTCACATCCCATTTCCCACTTTGTCCTTAACAATTCCCTTCATACTTGTATCCTTTGTTGTTTTGGTACTCATTGATTAGAAGTCTTATATTTTAACAGTCTTTTGCTACTGCTTTCTCTTTTTTAGCAAGAGAAAGAATCTCTGTCAGCCCAGTAGTATATGTACTGGCCATTCTGAGGAGTTAGAACTGTGCAAAAACAGGAAAAAACCCTCTTTCCCACTAGAAAGATAGAAAACTTCACCCTACCTATTAGATGGAGCTGTGTCTAACAGACAGGATTAACCTCTAGGAAGGGAGATTCGAACTCCATTTTGGTGCAGACTTGGGCACTGTTGGAGATTTATACTTTCAAAATGGGATTTTCTATTCAAGGGCAGTGAGCTTATGACAGGAGCGTTTTTTTCCTTAAATGTTCCAAATGAAAAATAAATAACTTCTGAATTTTCAAAGAACAAACTCTGGGTAAACATCTTGTGGCTGGTAATCTAAAACTTCTCCTGTTTTTCAAATTGTTATTGTTATTCCACATTGTTCCAGGGGACATTATTTGCCCTGGGGAAAGATCAGAAGAATCTGGAGAGAAAGTCAACTGCATTTTAAAACAGACTTTTAAGAACTCATAACTGAAGCATTAGTATCGAAACTGAAAGAGGCTTTAAGTTTAGCAACGTTTTCTACATAGAAGAGTTTCTTGCAGTTTGGACAGAATGGTTTCAAATATCAAAATCTAAGCACTAATATATTGTGTGTGAAATATAATGTGAACTATGAAGCTGAGAAGAATTCAGTGTTTTCTGTTTGAAAAACATAAAGACACACAACCTTTGGAGAAGAAGGCATTGCATTTAATGGGATAGCAGGGAAGTCAGACACTTGCCCCCACCCCCAGGTATATGTATGCCTTCATCAAGGACAGAAAGGAGTCCTTGAAACAGGAGAGTGTGAATGATTCTCACTTTCTAGAGAAGCTGTTCAGAAAGGTTTGAGTCCTGGCAGGGAGGGTAGGTTAGTGAGGTGCTAGATGGATGGTTTGAAGATGATAAGTTGAGTCAGGTTGGCCACATCACCGAACTACAGATAGAGCTGAACAGTCTAGGACTGTAAGAGGCTGATGGAGGGATGGTGGACACAGCATGGTCACTGACTGGCCACAAACAAGACATTAAGTGCTGGGATCTGATGAAAGAACATGGAAACACCAGAGTCCTCTCAATGTGTGACAAGAGGGTTGACTGTGGGCCATGTATCTTCCTGAAATCTAACAGAAGTAGAAATGAGCATAGGAGAGCTTCCTTTTCCTTCAGGGTGAGAAACATTACACAGAACTGCATTCACTACAGGAATGCGAAGAGAAGTAGAAGGAAAGGAAAGAGCAGAAACCCACATTTAATTCATTACTCAACCAAGAATACTCATCTTTGACTGACTGGGTTTACATAAAAAATAATCTAGGTAATTTTTCCTCCATCAGCAGAATTAGGAGTTCTGAATGACAATGTAGACAGAAAAGGGGACCTTCTTAGTTTGTTTACCTGGTTACATTGTATAATGCATGCATCATGGCTTTGCATATTTTATTTGGTATTTCTGTAATTTGACAACATTTTACAAGGAGAACAATGTGTACTCATGTATTGTTTTGGATACTGAAGCTAACTTCTCTGTGTAATAAAATACTTAGATTTTCTCAAAGATTATTCCTTCTAATTAGTAAGATGTATACATCACTCATTGTTTTTCTCAAAATCTGAATCTATAAATTTACTCCCATTGTTCTCTTTTTGGATTTTTCTGAAGAAAGGAAGAGTAAAATGTCTGTTATTATTTCATGTCTATCTTGGAAAATTGAATTTTATGGAAGAATTCCTATCAGAATTCCTTACTATTTACATTTCTCAATTTTTCTACTATAATAGAATCATCTAATTTATTTCACAAAGGAGTTCTTCTGACTTGAATTTCCACCTAGTTCCCTTGCCTTGCCTTGGTGACTTGGTTTACAAGGGGAAGGAGGAGGCTCACACAGAAGGATGTTTTCTAAAGTCCTTCTGTTCCTCTTAGCCCTCCTAACCAAGTCATCTCGCACTTGGATTCAACTCTTAGGAAGTTCTCAGACGATTTCTCCCTAACCTTTCCTGCCTCACCAATTTCACAGAATTCTCAGCAATCTTTTCCTTCAAGGACATCCTCTTCTTCCCTGAGACTTTAAAAAGTTTCTTTCTATGAAGGATTATTTCATTATCAGCTCCAGAAAGCCCTCTCCTCCATCTGCCACCTCAAAAAAAATAAGCAACGAATAGACCTAGTCACTTGCATTCAGGTGATACGGCCAGAATCCTACAATTATCCTATGCTGATTAGAAAGTTTTCCATTTAATGTCTCCTTCCCTCTTTGTGACATTTCCTTAGTTCCCCTTCGTTGGGAGTTCTATTAGTGGCAGATAGGAAATGCAGGGTTCCTTTAGAGTTCCATGTATGGCTGCATGAAGATAGGTTGTCTAGGAAGTTTAGCTTGTCCCAAATCCATTTCTTAAAAGATCTCTTTAGTTTTTGCATTTCTTATCTTATTAAACATAAGGCAGTTAGATGTCTGTACATATCCTTTGTACTCTCCACTTGCTCGAGCATCTAATTTATATTAATAGAATATTCCATTGAGTAATGTTTAATGTGTGGCTTATAATTCAACAAGAAACAGATTGGTTCCTTTAAATTTAAGCTCAAAATGAACATAAGATCATACTTTGACCTTGTAATTATCTTCTGGAGTAGGGCCAATGGCTGTCTGTACACAGGTCTTGAAAGTGACCTGTGTTTTTATTATGTTAACAAAGAGGTTGAGGAAATGGAATGCAATTATTAGAGGCTGGCTCCCTGCTCCACTTTTGCCCTCTCCCTGGCCCTGGCTGTGATGTGGGAGACGTCTAATCACATGAGACCCTGGTTTTATAATTTTACCTATAATCTTCCGTATGAAAAAGATGAAATGATTTTGACATATATTAGCAACTATGATAGGGATTTCCTACCCATCACTTTCCGCAGGGCATCCTGAACTTCTTTGTTTCTCAGACTATACACGACGGGATTTAGCAGAGGTGTTATAACAGTGTAAGTCACTGAGATCAGCTGGTCCTGGTCCCTGGTGTTCTCTGACTTGGGCTTGAAGTAGGCAATGGAGGCACAGCCATAGTGGATCACAACCACAGTGAGGTGGGAGGCACAGGTGGCAAAAGTTTTCTTCCGGCCCTCAGCTGAGGCAATCTTGAGTATGGTGGAGATGATGAGGACATAGGAGACAAATAGAAAAGTGGCAGGTGCTGTGATGGCCAAGAGGCTGAGAACTAATGTCAAGATATCATTGACCACTGGCACTTCACAGGCCAGATCCAAAATAGGTCGGACATCACAGAAGAAATGTTCAATCAGTGAGTTGCAAAAAGGCAACCTGAAAATGGACACAGCCTGGATGAGTGAGAAAAAGAATCCCGTAGCACAGACTGAAGATGCCAGAATGGTGCACACCCTCCAATTCATGATGATCGTATAACGAAGTGGGTTGCAGATGGCCACATAGCGATCATAACCCATGACTGCCAGCAGGAGACAGTTTGTGATTGCAAATCCAAGGAAAAAGAAGAGCTGTGTACCACAGTCCTCCAGGGAGATGGTTTGGCTCAGACCCACAAGGCTACCAAGCATTCGTGGGATGATAACCAGGGAATAGAAAGTCTCTGAAGTGGAGAGAACACTTAAGAAGAAATACATGGGGGTGTGAAGGTGGTGGTCAATGCGGATAATGGTCACAATGATGACATTGCCAGCCAGAGTCAGGAGGTACAGGGCAAAGAAGACAACGAAGAGTGTGAGCTGGTATTCTTGAAAATTGGAGAAACCTTGGAAGACAAACTCTCTTACCCCTGTGAAGTTGGTTCTCTTCATTGGGGAGCTCAGATCTGAAAGATAAAGGGAAGGTGAACACTATGTCTTAGTGTCAGAGTTGACTCTGATTACATTGCAGAGAAAAGATCCTGTATTGCAAAATAAGTTAAAAACTCATGGATGGAGATATATAGAGAAGTTTAATTCATAAATTCCTCGTCATCCACTGACCCCCTAAGCTCAATCACCATAAGTTACATTTTAAAAATATATAAATAAGAGGAAGGCATTGTAAGATATGTTTGTAATTACAGAACTGGGGATGTGGAAACAGGTAGAACCCTGGGTCTCACTGGCAGCTGGCCTAGATTCAATGAATTCCAGGCAAGTAAAAGACTCTGACTTAGAAAACAAAAAAAGTCTCAGTTGATGACATCTCAACATTAGTATCTGTGGTTAACATCTGGCTTCCACACCTACACACATGTGCACATGCTTGCATAACCACATGCAATTGCATAAATAAGAGCATACACCAAAATTAAAGTAAAAAACATTAAAAACATCACTTCATAACTTCAGAAATGATAGACTATGTCCTTGGATTAGAAAAAAAGATGTAATTTAATTAGCCTTCCCTAAGAACCTGATGTAAAGCATTTTGATCCTTTGTATAATGACTGTGTATAGCCCATGAAATTTATTTTGAAATTTTATTAAAAGTGGATTATCTTTTAAAAAATAATCACATTCTTAGTGTGGGTCATATAAAATTTAGTAATTTTCAAAAATAGACAATTTGAAAATTATTGCAAGAGCTCAGAATGATAACTGGGAACTATTTAGAACCAAATAGTAATAAAAATAATGATAACCAAAACATGTGTGGATGTACATACGCAGAAGGTCATTAGAGTTAAATTTATACTTTAAGTTTTTTATTGTGAAAGTGGCTAATATAGAATGTCCATCTCATAAAATTGTAAAAAAAAGACAAAGGGTAATGTAGGAAGAAAAATAATATGAAGTACATGGTAATAACATAAAAGAAGAATTAAATGATAACACATATAAGGTAAATGTTTATAGGTTTAACTGTAGGACGCGGGTGCAATTGACAAAGAGAAAGAAGCTATGAATAAACTTTATCAAACGATAAACTGAAACTAGGTAAGTTTCAGAAAAAAAGGAAAAAGTAGCTTCACAATTTTATTGCAATATAATTTTAGTAAAATGAAATTATTACATTCCTAGAAATCATTTAGCCACTGGTATTTATTTGAAAAACACTTCATACCTGGCACCATTGTTGAGCTGAATCCTGTGGCTAGTCAGGTTCTAAGGCCCTGGGGAGGATCTACAGCAATCATTCTTCTAAATATACATATACAGTATACAAAATTACTCTTAATGATTTATACTCATAGATGAATACTTATCTCAACCTTCATTAGAGAACAGTCTACTTGAAGTAGATGGGATTCACACAGATATCTATATTTGGCCAAGGTTCATCATAAGCTCAGATAATATTTCTCTACATCTCCTCCTCCCAAGGCCCAAGGATCATTGCAGAAAAGGGGGCAGAAAGTCTGTAGGAGCCAGAGATGGTCAATGAACACAGAGAAACTGTGCCCCCCAGAAACAACATGACAGCCTCACATAAAAAGTCAGAGTAATTGTTACATGCTCAGTCCTTGTCCTAGCTCAGGGCAAATCTCAACACAGAGAGGGAGGTATATGTGAAATCCCACCCCAAACAAAGGAGCTATTGGAAATTGACAGCTACTCGGAGGAACAGCCAGTTTTCTTTAGGACTTAATGTTGTCCCTGCCAAGTTGATCATACTTGAGTAGAAGGTCACACATCTGAGAATATGATAAAAACAAATTGGCCTTGATGGATTAAAAAAAGATACAAATTTGGGTAGATAGGGTGTTTTATATGAGAGCAGTTAGAAATGGATGAAAATTCTCAAAACATATTGTGTAAACCTCTCAATGAACCAATAAAAATAAACCAAGCTTCTGAAAAATCCAGTGTCTTGGTCAAATGTAATTCTCAAATTGGTACAGCCTAGAGTCATCATGAGGAGAAATGTCAATTGAGGCATTGCTTCATTCAGGTTGGTCTGTGGTCATTACTTTGTGGGACTGTCTTAATTACTAATTGATGTAGAAAGGCCCAGCCCCACAGGTAGTAGCATCAATTCTCGGGTAGGACAATCACAGGCAATCAAAACCCAGAGCTTTGGAGACCAGTCATTATGGATATATCTACAAAACACACTCTTACCCAAGGATCATTGGATATTGCAGAGGTGTGGGCAGAGTAGTAGGGACTTTATTGTGTGATTTGGGCCCTTAGTAATGTCAGAAAATACACATATGAATAACCACCAACTTGACTGTCCAAACATGATCTAAATAAAGATGTCATGAATGGACATGTCAAAATGGATAGGAGTCAGGCACAAGGATTCAACCATATACAAAGAATCACAGATAAGGTAGGAATGCTGAAACAAATAGTCATCTCTAGAGAAGAGCATGCAAATTGGTGTCAAATGGTTAGCCCCGAAAATGCACATAAAAACCAATGTAATACAGACTGAGCAGGTTATATTTATGAATATGTAGCATGTAATAGCAATTAATGAAACAAAAAGTCACAGATTTGAAAGAGAATGGGGGAGGTTATATGGAAAAGTTTGGAGGTGGGACTGAGAGAGAGAAATGATGTAACTATATTATAATTACAAAAATAAAAGAAAGAATTCAAGTTAGAGGAAATAAAAGAAATTTAATTCAGCTGGGATCTCCTGGCCTGGGGACTACAGCCAGGTCGACTCGCCCCTAGAGGACCAAGCAACCAGGAGTCTGCTGAGAGTGATGGTCTCTCCTCCCAACCCCCAGTCAGGGCAGAGGTGAGCTCCACAGTCCTGACTTCCTTCCACTTGCCCTCTCTGGGATCTCCTGGCCTGGGAACTGCAGGCAGGTCAACTGGCTCCCAACTCACCAAGCAACTTCAAGTCAGCTGATAGCACTGTGCTAATCCAGCTCATATTCACATGGAGGGGGAGTACCTCATACCCAACTGAACCCATCATGAGACTCATTAGAGTATTGGACCTGCCTTCACATACAGGAAGAGAACCTTGGACCCATACCAACTAGGAAAGGATGAGACCCCACCTGCACCCACTGGAAGAAGGGATTGTAAGACAACAATATAAGAACACATTTAACAACTGAAAAACCAATATGATGCCACCAGAGTCTAGGGACTGTACACCAGCAAGACCTGAACATCCCAACACAGTGAAGCAGAAGAGAACGACCTTAAAAACAACTTCATGAAAATGATAGAGACCCTAAAAGTGGAAATGAGAAAGTCCTTTAATGAAATGGAAGAAAATACAAAGCAAAAATTGTAAGAAACAATTCAAACAGTGCAAAGTTTGAAAGCTAAAATAGAGACAATGAAAAAACACAGTCTGAGGGAATGCTGGAATTAGAAAAGAGAGTAAACTACAGATACAAGCATTACCAACAGAATAGAAGACATGGAAGAGAGAATCTCAGGCATTGAAGATTCACAAGGAGAAATAGATTCATTGACCAAAGAAAATCTTAAGTCCAACAAATTCCTAACATAAAATATCCAGGAAATATGGCACAGCATGAAAAGGCTAAATCTTAGAATAATAAGGATAGAAGAAGGTGAAGAAACCCAACTCAAAGGTGCAGAAATCATCTTCAACAAAATCATAGAAGAAAACTTTCTCAACCTAAAGAAAGACATGTCAATGAAAGTACAAGAAGCCTACAGAAGAGTAGACCACAAAAAGTCCCCTCACCACATAATAATCAAAACCCCAAACATACAGAATAAAGAAAGAATATTAAGAGCAGCAAAGGAAAAAGACCAAGTAACATATGAAGGCAAACCTATCAGTATCACACCTGAATTCTCCATGGAAACTCTGAAAGCCAAAAGGTCCTGGATAGATATTCTACCAACACTAACAGACCGCGAATGCCAGCCCAGACTATTATACCCAGCAAAGCTTTACGTCACTATAGATGGAGAAAACAAGATATTCCATTACAAAACCAGATTTAAACAATACATATCAACCAATCCAGCCCTACAGAAAAGTACTGGAAGTAAAATATCAACCTAAAGTAGGTAACTACACTCACAAAAACACAGGAATAATCCAACTTTGCCAAAAGCCAAAAGAAAAAATGTGGTAAATCCACAAACAATAATACCAACACCAACAAAATAAAAACAAATGAGAATTAACACTCAATAGTCCTTAATCTCCCTCAATATTAATGGTCTTAATTTGCCTATAAAAATACACAGACTAACAGAATGGATATGAAGACAGAATCCATCTTTCTGCTGCATACAAGAAACATACCTCAACTTCAAAGATAAACATTACCTCAGAGTAAAGGATTGGGATTAGATTTTCCAATCAAATGGACTCAAGAAACAAGCTGGTATAGCTATCCTAGTATCGAATAAATTAGAATTCAAGCTAAAATTATTAAGAAGGATGAAGGTCATTTCATATTCATCACAGGAAAAATCTATCAGGAAGTAGTTTCAATTCAGAACACCTATGCCCCAAATACAAAGGCACACATGTTCATAAAATAAACATTACTAAAACTCAAATGACACAGAAGAACTCACATAGCTATAGTGGAAGACTTCAACACCCCACTCTCACCACTAGACAGGACCACCAGATAGAAACTTTTTGTTTGTTTGTTTGTTTGTTTTTCAAGACAGGGTTTCTCTGCATTGTTTTGGAGGTTGTCCTGGAACTCGCTCTGTAGACCAGGCTGGCCTCGAACTTGCAGAGATCCACCTGCCTCTGCCTCCTGAGTTCTGGGATTAAAGGCATGTGACACCACTGCCTGGAGTCACCAGACAGAAACTTAACAAAGAAATAAAAGAACTAAAAGAAGTTATGGCCCAGTTGGGTTTAACAGACATCTATTCCATTCAAACACAAAAGAATATACCTTCTTGTCAGAGCC